GAGACTTGATTCGAGCGGACACATGGGCACTTTGATGCTTAGAATTTCTTAATGGGGGCTCTCTCTCCCATCCATTGCACCGAAAAAAAAAAAAAAAGAAAGAGAGAATATAATAAATTAAATTAATTTTCTTTTCATTTTAGTAATGGTTAATTGTTGAATTGTATACTTATTTGTTATTATTATTATTATTATTATTATTATTATTATTATTATTATTATTATTATTATTATTATTATATTAAAGAATAAAGAAGGAGCTGGCCCCACTTTTGCTTATTATTATTATTATTATTATTATTATTATTATTATTATTATTATTATTATTATTATTATTATTATTATTATTATTATATTAAAGAATAAAGAATGAGCTGGCCCCACTTTTGCTTGTCGACATCAAATTTAGGAAATTCCACATTCTCATCGATCAATTCATGTTTGACCTTGTACCTTAAAATGTCAGAAACTAAAAATCACACCCCTGTATATTTTACCGTTTTGTTTATTATTCAAATTAATTTTTTAAAATTTATTTTATTCAATATTTTAAAATTTTTTTAATTTAGTTTTTTTTTTGGTATTTAATACTCTATTTTTAAATATAAATTTTATACACTAATATTAAACTAAATATTACAAAAAAGTGAGTTATAAATAACTTAAATAAAGGCTCTGCACCAGGACTATGTGGTCTAATGGTATCCGGGTTGGACTTCCATTTGGAAGATTGTAAGTTCGAGCTTTAGTGGAGGCGTTATTAGTTCTTTGTGTTTCAGTAGGTTGAGAAAGTATATGAACAGATACTACAATGTAATAGAGCTAGTAGCAAAGGCTCTGCAAACCTTAGACGATGACAGGCTTGGGATTCCTATTTGGCAGCCACCAACTTGTAATTTTTGGGTATTTCCCTTCTACTTGTTCTAAAAAAAAAAAGAAAAAAAAACTCTTTAATCGAACTACACACATAAAATGAGAGAAATGACTCTTTAGTCGAATTACGCACATAAAATGAGAAAAAAGAAGTGTGTGTGTGTGTGTGTGTATATATATATATATATATATATATATATATATATATATATATGTTGATGTTAAAGTCAAGGATAATTACTATCTAGGGGCCAACTTAAAGACTGTCTAAATATGAAAGTGCATGATGTATTTGAATACAAAAGTCCTACCAAATTTGACTAATTTGGTTTAGAATTTAGATTTCAACCCCCACCCCCACCCTAAGATGCAACAAACCAATTGAAACTGGAATGACTTTTATTATGGAATTACAACACATTTTGTTCATGGAATGAATTTGGAAGGAATATGAATGCTATTCCACATGAAATGGAATATATACGGAATAGAATTTGAATTGTATTTTATTGTTCGGTTCGCTAAATAATTAAATAGACTTTAAGAATTGTATTATAATGTTTGGTTGGTTCAAGGAATATAAATGGAATATGTTTTAAAGACACAAATACCCTTATATAAAATAATGATAATGATAATGATAATGATAATGATAATGATAATGATAATGATAATGATAATAATAATAATAATAATAATAATAATAATAATAATAATAATAATAATAATAATAATAATAATGATTATGATGATATACTGAATGTTTATATATATATATATATATATATATATATATATATATATATATATATACACACTACTGGTAATTCTGAAATTTCCGACCACCTGAAAGTAATCTTAAATCAAGTTGAAAGCCTTGTTTCCGACCACTTTTGATATCCGGAAAAACCTTTGCTGCTATTTCCGACCACTTTTTGCTTTCAACTTGATTTAAGATCACTTTCAGGTGGTCGGAAATTTCATAATTTCCAGTATTGATATATATATATATATATATATATATATATATATATATATATATATATATATATATATATATATATATATATATATATATATATATATATATATGTTCAGCGGTTGTGCGGTTATATATGAGTCATTGATCTTGCCTAAATCAACATTCAGGATTAACAGTGGTTAAAAAATGCGCAGTAGCAATTTGGTCTTTTTGCATATAGGTCAAATTTAAGGTGCGTGGTTTTCTTTCTTAAGGTACGTGGTTTTTATGCTTAAGGTGAGTGGTTTTTGTACTGTGTGGCTTAAGGTGTGTCAGGTGTTGAAAACTTAAGTGCGTCGATCTAAAGCTTTAGGTGCGTGATTTTCCTTCTTAAGGTGCATGGTTTTCCTTCTTAAGGTGCATGGTTTGTGCGCTTGAGGTGCGTAAGTTATTGAAGTGTCGGCCTAGAGCTTTAGGTGCGTGATTTTCCTTCTTAAGGTACGTGATTTGTATGCTTAAGGTGCGTCAGTTGTTGAAACTTAAAGTGCGCCATTTTAAAACTTTAGGTGCGTGGTTTGTGTTCTTAAGGTGCTTTGTTTGTGTGCTTAAGGTGTGTGGTTTGTGTATTTAAGGTGCGCCATTTTAAAACTTAAGGTGCGTGATTTGTGTTCTTAAGGTGCTTTGTTTGTGTGCTTAAGGTGCGTGATTTGTGTACTTAAGGTGCGTCTTTTTGTGTTAACCGCACAATCACATGGGAACTTATATTTGCACCTGATCCCTCTATATATATATATATGACAGAGAGAGAGATAGAATAACAACAACAACAACAACAACAACAATAATAATAATAATAATAATAATAATAATAATATATTTATATAATACATTATATTTATTAAATAATGTGCAAAGAGAATTTTTGGTACGTATTTGTAATATAAAAGTTATTCACAAGAATATAGAAATAGCTAATACCAAGGCCCTCCCTAGGAATGGCTATTCTCATAGTAAAGGTAATAGCTCATTCATTGAAATGTTATTTCCATATCAAAATAACTAAAACAAACAATGGAATATGTCTATTTAAAAAAATATTATTATATTCCTGCCCTATTCCATGCATGAACCAAACATGCCATTAAAGAAATACTCAAAAGTTATATAACTATACTGTAACTCTGTAAGCACAAAAGTGGGGGTGCTACACACAAGACATTAATTTTTATTTTTATTTTTTTTATAAATCTGGTAGGGGAGACCCAAAGACATTAATTTGGTTAGTAGAAATTGAAGTAATCGAATTGAATTTTGATTGATTCAGTTAATTGATTGAATGCGAATTCATTTGACTAACCGAATTAATCAAAATTTTATTTTATATAATATATTTTTAATATTTATTACCAATTTGATGAATTTTAAATTTTTAACTGAATTAATTAAATGATAATTAAATTTTTAAATTTTTTTTAATCATTAATTGAGTTCTTCATGAAGAACATACTGTGCATTGCCGGGTCTTTTTATGTCCGTTTAACGGCTGGCCCAAAAGGAATTATCACTTTTGAGAATTGAATCCGAGTTATTTCAAAATTTTTCTTCCAAAAAAAATTCATTTGTCACTTGAACTACCCTATTGCGTTTACATCAAGTGAATTGATGATATAGATAACAATATAACATATTATTATTATTATTATTATTATTATTATTATTATTATTATTATTATTATTATTATTATTAAATCATCATCATTATTTATTGAAAACAATATCGTCTGCAACATCATAGACTCATAGTTAGGGACCTGTAATAATGAGAGTGTTTATTGCACATGAAGTAACATTTCGTTGCGGATAATTTAATTTCATAATTTTATATATCTACTGACAGCTCGTGAATTAATGAATTAATCGATTTCATGTTGTACAAAAAATTCTTAAAAGAGTACTTTTCATATTATGAACACATTTTTTCAAGAAACTTATAGAAATCCTCACGAAATATTTTGACCTCATCATTTCTATAATAAAAAGAAATGGAATCACATCTCTTAAAAGTGAATGGTAGTCATTTAAATATATTTAAGAAAAAAAAAATTACAAATATGTTTGATGGAGGTTTGGAGGACCAAATTCATCGACGCACATGAACCCAGCTTTTGTTTTCGCAAATCATATAAAAAAAGGTAAACTTGTACACTGAGTAGACCTTGTGGGACGACGGGCTTGACTCAGAGAGTTAACAATAATTAAACACGTGACCTTCTAGTACATGAATCATGCTCAGCCTACTTGGCCACCATTTTTAGGACTACACCTACCTTCATTTTGAGTTATAACTTTTAGCGTAACGACAACGTTTAATTCAGACCAAATTTACCATTTTTGCCTGCACATGCTTAACTCACTGGTTTAATAGGCAGTGTGGGCAGATCTCTTGTGCGCACCGATATTTAGCCCTGTCTGCTGAGCCATTGAGTCACTGTGATTTACATCCTCCCAAATATTCTGTCGAGCCCTTGAGGTTGGGCATGTTGAGCATATAATATATATAAATATAAATGTGTAATCCAACTATCAACTTAGGCTTTTTGTTGAGGTAGATGCTACAATTGAGCACTCAACCTTTTTTGGGAGAAGAAAAATTTACCATTTTCTTTCAAAGGGTAAACCCCAACCCTAAAGGCACCCCACATTCCGTCCTGACAGAGCATTTGGGACCATTTTCATGGTGCCTAAATGGTGACGATGAGATGATTCAATGAGGGGAGCCCCCAAAAACATATGTCAAACAATTAAGATAATCACATGAGAGAGAAGGTAGACAACTGTCAAAGGAAGGATTAATTAATCAGAAAATATATATACACACATAACTTTTTAATTAAGGAATCACATGATATTCAAATTCTACACCCACAAAGCTTAGGGACCAGTCAACCTTAGCTTCTCATCTCCATCCCTAGCTAATAATGCATACATTATTACATTATTATGATGCTCGATTGGACTGTCCTGCCACGGTTGAATTACCCACTTTAATTTTTATTAATTATAATATATACATTATTTTAATTTTAATTTTTTTTTTTAAAGTAAGAAAGACCATAAAAGTCACAGCAATATCTGAATCTAGTGATGACTAATGGCATTGAAATTTAATTCCTTGTTGAATGAAACAAACGCCTCCCAACGCCCAGAGAAAAACAACACCACCGCCCACCCTCCTATTTCAACCTTATCCCCCCGCCCTCTCCGGCGGCTTCACCCTCTTATCTTTCCCGACGACGTCAACACCGGCCGATCGCCGGAGACAGAAGAGCAGTACCCGCCGCCGATCATCCTCCGATAAGTCACACAACAATTCTTGCCCAACAAGCTAGCTAGCAAGCTCATCATCGTTTCTTGATTGACATATACATACATATATACTTACATGGTTTGTATCTATATATATATATATAGCTAAATATGTTTCATCTATATATACTTGACTTCCACATGCACCTAAACTTGTGATTGATATGATCAGTTCAATCTGCAGCCTTTTTCATCCAAGGTTTTAATTTTAGTAAATATTATAATCTTTTTTTTTTTTTTTTTGTTTCATTTAATTTTCACATACTTTTATGTGAAAAGGGTCTTCTTCTTCTTCTTCTGATCCTTCTCCTTCTACTTCTTCTTATTCTCCTTCTTGCTTGCATGGATGGATGGGAATGTGTTTGTATTGAATTGGGAGCTAGAAAATATGAAATAATGGATGAAAGGGTGTTGTTTATTTTGATCTTTTGATATGAGAATTATGTGTATGTGTGTCTATTTGTTCTTCAATTTAAACAAGTGTGCTAATAACAACATATATGGATTTAGATAAAAGTGTTGTTAGGGTTTTGCATAGTTTTGTTTGAAAAAATCTTTTAATTCCCCTCTTGGGATTTCATTAATAATGATTAACTTCTTACAAAGTTATTCATTTATATTGTTTCCAATTTCTTCTAAGCATGCTTGCTAGCTACCTCATCAAGTTTATCTATGTATTGCCTGCATGTACAAACTTAGCTCACTGGTTCAGTAGTCAGTATTTGGGAGAAGTTTATATATGTGTATATACATATATAAATATATATCATCCTCTCAATCACGCACCTTCTTCAGCTAAGATTCCCTTTTTCTTCTTTTTTTAATCGAAATGGTGAAACTAACATCACAAAAGATAATTGCTTGCTTATTCGAGCTCAACACTACAACCAAACTTGTATAGAAAAGTCTAGCAAAAACACCCGAACTAATAAAATATTTAAGATGGAATTCAAATATGAAATTCCTAACTCAAATAAAATGTTCAAATTTCAAAGTGAGGGTGTATGTTGGTAACTAAAACTAACTCTCATCTAATTCTTCATTATTCTTATTCATTTTCTTTTTAGATTTGTAGTTAATTAATTTCCTCTCTTAATTACCTTTTCCTTGATGATTTTTTTTTTCTCTTTTTTTCTTTTTTTGGGGGTATAAATCTTGCATAATACAACTGATTTAATTAAGACAACCTACAAACTTTAATGTTGTGGGTTAAGAATTCTTTAAATTCACATCTGCTAACATTTATGTTGGTGGATAATTCAATAAAACCTTGGGAAGTCACTTGTAAATTCACAACATGTTTTAGGTACTCTGCTGTTTGCATCGTATTGGTCAACTTAAATATTGTCAGAAATGTTTTTTTTCAAATATATATATATATTGTCAGAAATTATTCCCAACCTTGTCAGAAATAATATTTATAGGGGCAGTGGACATTTTTAAAAGTAAAAACACAAGAGAACAGTAGAGTACGAGGTAAATAATCTTGTAAAGTTAGTCAGAATATTGGCGGCTAAATAACCACCTTCAATTGTTTCAGAATAAAAACATAGGCGGCGGCATGGAAGCCGGATTATCCGGAGAAATGCAAGAGAAGGAGAAGACGCCGTTATTATCGCCGGAGACATGTTCGTCGGAGAGTAAAGGAATGGCGTCGATTGATTTGAACAGCAGAATGGACGGCGGCGAGGATGATGATGACGACGACGACGACGTAGAGTTACTCAGCGAGAAAGCGGGGCCGGATGGAAACTCGTCGGCGAACAATAGCAGCTCTTTCTCCGGCGAGTTGGAAGGAAACAATGGAAATGGCAATGGTGGTGATGAGAAGAAGTCTAGTGTCCGGCCATATGTCCGGTCAAAAATTCCCAGGCTCCGATGGACTCCTGACCTCCATCTCTCCTTTGTGCACGCTATTCAACGACTCGGTGGACAAGAAAGTAAGTTGATAATATTTTTCCGAGTTAATTTCATTTTTGGTCCTAAATTTATAGGTCACAATTAGGGATGGCAATTTCAATCTGCACCGCGGATATTCACCCGAATCCACCCGTATGGATGGGATTTTTTTGGGTGATGGTGGATGGTGGGACGGGTGTGGGTCTTTAAAAAGTAAACCCGCGGTGGGTCGGGTTGAATTTGGGTTCTATGTACAAAACCTGCGTAGAACCCCACCCGACCCACCATATATGTGTGTGTACTAAGTTTATATAACTACTAAAATAAGTACTAGTATGTATTATTTATAAAAGTTTATATAACTTCGTGTATCTTTTACTATTTTTATATCTAAACTAATAAGTTTATTTTTTAAAATTAACAATTTAGTTATTATATTTAAATATTTCTATTATTTTATGTTTTATTATCACTAATGAATTTTATTATTTTATTACGTGTAAGTAATTTAAATATTATTTTTTAAAAAAATAATAAGATGATAAGTGGTGGGTACCCGTAGTGGGCACCCGCACCTGGTGGGGGTGGGTGTGGGTTTTGAAAAAGTCCACCCAATGCGGGTTGGAGGTGGGGGTGGGTGGAGAAAATATAAGGTGAGTCGGGTGATGGATGTAGCCACACCCGACCCATTGTCATCCCTAGTCAGAATCCACTTTTAGTCCTTTTTTATTTATTTATTAGAACATCATCATTTGTTCTCGTATTATTGTTACATGACCATTTTTAGTCCTCCATCTTCAAAATCGTTAAATACAACAAAGACATTGCAACTTTTTTTTATATAAATTATGTTGAATCGCTATATTTTTATGTTTATTTTTTTGAAAACATTCATAATTGAAGACCAAAATGTCCTTGTATTTAACGATATTTAAATTATTTTGTTGATAAAGGACTAAAAATGGTCATGCCACGATAATACTAAAATAAAAAGTGAATGTTCTAATAAAAAAGACTAAAAATAGACTCTCACCTATAAATTTAGAACAAAAAATAAAATCAACTCTATTTTTTTTTTTTTTTTTGCATAATTTAAATTTCACCTCCTTTTGTAGTCTATCCAAATCTAATAATTCACCAAGAGTCAATGAATATAAAAAGTTTTTAAAACCTTTGTCAAGTAAATTTCTCTTTGTATGACCAGGACTATGTGGTCCAATGGTATCCGGGTTGGACTTTCATTTGGAAGATTATAAGTTCGAGCCTCAGTGGAGGCGTTATTGGTACTTTGTGTTTCAATAGGTTGAGAAAGTATATGAACAGATACTACAATGTAATAGAGCCAGTAACTTTCAAAAAAAAAAAAAAAAATTCTCTTTGTATGTGTTTTACCTAAACTCTACTATCGAATATTCTATATTTATCTTATGAAAAATCTACCATAGCTATTTTGGAAAACTTAACTGAAAAGGTAGATGAAAGCTGAAAAATTATAAGCGGAAAATTAAAGAGCTGATTATACTTAAAAGTGTTTGGTAAAATTAGGTGTTTGATAAGTTGATAAATATAAAAAGACTAAAAAGGACATCTTAATAAAATCAGTGTTGAAAAATCGCGCCTAGGTGCTAGGCGTGTTGAGCATATAACCATTAATGTGCAATCCAACTATCAGCTTAGGCTTTTAGTTGAGATGGAGCACATACTTCAATTTGGTATCAGAGCCAGATCTCTACGTCACCCCATAAGCGACTACAATCCACGTGTTGCTTGAAACCCACCGCACACGTGAGGGGGAGTGTTGAGCATATAACCATTAATGTGCAATCCAACTATCAGCTTATGCTTTTAGTTGAGATGGAGCACATACTTCAATTAGACGGTCGGCCTCCTAGGCGTTCTAGGCGCCCGCCTAAGCGCTCTAGGCGCTAGGCGCTTAGAGGGCTCCTAGCGATTTTAATAACAAAAATAAAGATAAAAAAAAAAAGTTAAAAAACTACTAGCTCATTTTTGAAGCGCTATCTAATGTAGCATTTCAAAATTCTAAGTTAATTTCTTATTTTAGAAACATTATCAAATAAAACTTATAGATTATTAATAGCTTAAAATGAGTTAAAAACTCCAAAATAAACTTTGTCAAATACAACCATGTCAATCCGTACAGATGTCTTTCACACGCCAAGTATAAGTATTATTTATACTTAATTTTAAGGTTGTAATAAGTATGCTTGTCAGTTGTCACCACAAAACCTGGTAAACCAAAATATATATGATTATATTCAAGGTAAAAGGTACTAGTATCAGTATCGATAATGATTGACACATTGAAAGTTTTTCAATAATTTTGTGCAGCAGGAGCCCTATATTTATACCGGGCGTTTGGTTGGATGGAGAGAATTAGAATAGAGAAGGAATTGTAATTCCATAGAAAAAGAATAAAGTAGAAAAATTTAAATTACATTTTTTTGGTATGAAGGAATAGAATGATTGAGAATTTAAGGAAGAAGTGAATAAAGACTAAAATGTCCTTGTATAATAATAATATAATAATTATAAGAAGGATAAAATGGTAATTTATCATGAAATTACAATTTCACAAAGTGTGAAATTGTAATTCATAGGGGCCCTAGGAATTGCAATATCATGGTTAGAAGAAATTATAATTCCATGGAATTGCAATTCTCTCCAACCAAACCATGGAATTGCAATTCCATGGAGTTTGGTACGTAGAAATGGAATTATAATTCAATCCTACCAATTGTTATGCCGTGGAACCGTGTCCATCTTGCAAGGTGGACACGGTTCTATGTTTATAATTATAAAACTCTATGTTCATAATTTTTGAATTTCATATTCACAATTATTGAACTCTATATTCACAATTACACAACTCTATGTTCATAACTCTAAGTTCATAATTATAGAACTCTATATTCACAATTATGACAGTTTTGCAAGGTGGACAAGCATAATTTGCCCAATCCTACCAAACACCCCATATACATTAATGTCACCCTTAATTGGTAGTCTTACTTTTGATGATAACTTATGTGTTAACATGAATTTGGGGTTGGCAGGAGCAACACCCAAATTGGTTCTCCAGTTAATGAACGTCAGAGGGCTCAGCATTGCTCATGTAAAGAGCCATCTGCAGGTAATTTCATCATCATCATCATCATCATCATCATCATCATCATCATCATCATCATCATCACTAATGACTTGATTCACAAGTAAACATATATATATATATATATACATACATACATGTACAACGTTAATTAATTGTGTTATTATTGCAGTACAGTCATATATGCATGTAAATATTAATATTAATATTAATATAACATGGTTGTTGTTGATGCATTGCCTAATGTCAGATGTATAGAAGCAAGAAGCTTGATGCATCCGGCCAAGGTATAGTAATCAATCAAACTTGCTATTTCTAAAAGTCATTCACCTAAACTCATATATAATCTGGATGCTATTATTTGATTTTAATATTTTAAACTTACGAGATAATTATACAAACTATATTATTTGTACAAACTCAGAATTCGTTTTTATCTAGAATATTATAAGGATCTATAATTGTTGGGTTCAATTTATTTTTCTCTTTATATAGTATTAGGTCAAGCTAAGAGAGGATTTAAAGGGAGGAGTTATGGATATGGAGACATGAACTGTAGATTTATTCCCCATCAGCATTTCAAAATGCAAAACGGCGCAATCGTGTTAACAAGAACTTTTGAAGATGGTCGTCATCAAATGCTCAATAATAATATTGCAAGGCATTCCATGTTTCAATCCCCAACTTATGACCTCAAAAGCATCATCTCAAGGTACCCATTTAACCCCTCTTATTTCCACATTATTTGAGTAAATAGTATAGGAAAATCTGTAGTTACTATCCGATAATATGCATTGGGTAAATCCCCGCTATGTGACCATAGCCAGTAAAGAACCACAATGAGATAAACCAGCCAGCCTAAGTTGTCTATCTCAAACCAAGAAGGTCACTAGGTCATTTCTGCTAGGAGGAGAACTTGTAATCTTGTAATTACCAAATGAAGTAATCTTGTAGACTTGTACTTACCAAATCAACAATATGGCCAACTTATACTCATGCAAACATTGTTACTGTTAGGATCAAACGCTTATCTATATTTACGCTAAAAGTTATAGTTAGTGAAGACACAACTTTATTTCCTCATTTATAGACCGCTAGCACATTTTTGAGACATTGACTGTTGGGCTTGACCCCACCCTTTACCTGCCTCTGCCTAACAATCACCAATCACGTGGTGTGACCTTTACCGGCCTCCTCCCAATAGTTACATTTATATGGATTTGAACTCCCGGCCTCATACTTAAAAGCTACATACATGTTTCAGATATCAACAGAGGTCATCATCCAATCAAGAAAGTGTTCTTCTCAAGCTCAGCGGGGCGGCGAAAATGGAAGATCATAGAGAAGGAAACGTGTTGAGAATGAGGATGCTACATCAGCATCAAGAGAAGCTGCCATTATCATATGCTCCAAAAGATCATCAGTTGCAATATTCATCACCTGCTAGTAATGGTAGCCATCATCATCAAATTGTCCCAATCAGGCCTAGCCAGTTTCTTGAAGAAAAAAGATGGCCGCCGCGGGGATCCATGGCGGCCAATCATTTGAAAGAGAAACCTGCAACCTTCACTACATGTGGCCTTTGGTCCAATGCTGCAACTCCCCAACCATTGCTTCACCACACAATCCCTGCTGGGACAAACTCCAGATTTAGCACTCTTGGCCCTAGTTTTGACCCCCCATTTCGGAGACTTGAGGTAATATATATATACTTGTAATATATCCATGATCATCTATTTTTATGATCCCATTTTATTTATGGACTCAACTCCAATCGACCTTGGTCCTATTTGGTAAAATGACTGTTAGCTGATTGAGTTAATTAGATGATTTAACTAGTTGATAACATTAGCGGATTGTAGAAAGGTGTTTGGTAAATTATTAGTTGTTAGCTGATAATTGTTTGGTATAATTTTTTTTCTCAAAAAGCTAATAGAAAAAGTTGCTTTGAACAGCTTTTTGAATTTTAGCATTTTGGAGTTACAAAAAACTAATTAACCAAACACTTATATTGATTCTTAACCAAGTCAAATAGCTAATAGTGGTCAAATAAGCTAAAATTGGCCTATAGGCTAATTATTTTAGCAAACAGGGCCAAGCTTGTCTCAATCTTGTTTCCAAAAGGTTGAATCCCAAACCCTAAGGACCTCTACGCTCCAGCCCGACAGAACATCTGGGGGAGGATGTAAATTATGGTAACTCAGTTGAACACAGAGACTAGACCTGCTCGATCCTGGGTCATTGTGTTCAAACTTTACCCCTGTGACCAACTGAGATGCCCATGCGGGCTTGTCTCAATCTTAATGCAGGTCCATCCCGCTTCATTTGTTCCCTAATTGTTATATCATAGACTATGGTCTACCTTGCATTATGACTCGGGTTAAAATTTATGTGTCTGAAGTTAACATATTATGTGCATGTACTTAACTACTTAACTGTGCTCTCAATTTATTTACATGCACATAATATGACACATGCCTTACTAATCTCATGGGTGAGCCTGTTTCTGCAATCTTGGGTAAATGATAGTAAATTTTTTATCTGCAGATGATGAATAAGGAGAAGATGAGCTTCAAGGAGAATGGCAGATTGCTGGATTTGCAACTGAGATTAAGCCAAAGTGGAGATGATAATAATAATAATAATGGTGAGAAGTCTTATAAGAAGGAAGGAGATATTAACACCATGCTTTCTCTATCCCTATAACCATCAATATATATTTTGTGTCAAGTTTAATTAGCTGAAAATTATTACTGATAGCTATATATACTAGGAGGCTGAGTACTTGAGATCTGACCATATATGCAGTTGGCCTGGCTAGAGCAGTGGAGTGAGATCTCCAAGTACTTGCCTTAATTAGCTTATAGGCTTGTGATAGTACTAACTAATTAATTACAGTTTAATGTTTTGACACATTATTTTTATGGAAATGAAACATTTTATACCTGTTATATATAACCAAGATGAAATAATGCTTATTTTATATTTGTATATTCATGCATACATACATATATATGACACATGCTCACACATGGGAGGGTTGGGTGAGAACAAGCCTCCAGGTAAAAAGTGGGGCCGGACTGATTTTATCATCCATCTGGGTAGATCAACGGTACAAGGTTGCTGAAAGATAAGCCCTGTTTGGTAAATGACTGTTAGCTGTTAGTTGATTAGATTAATTACAGGGTATAACTAGTTGATAACATTAGCTCATTGTAGAAAGGTGTTTGGTAAATTAGTTGTCAGCTGATAGCTGTTTGGTATAATTTCTTTTCTAAAAAAGTTAATTGAAAAAGCGGCTTTGAACAACTTTTTGAATTTTAACATTTTAGAGTTACAAAAAGCTAATTAACAAAACACTTATATTAATTTTTTAACCAAGTCAAAATAAGCCAAAACTGACCGATAGGCTAACTATTTTACCAAACAGGGCCAAGGAGAAAAAGGGTGGTGTCAGTTCTATAAATATTACAAACTTAAAGTTTTTCGACTGTGATTTGTCCTTACTTTTCCATTACAAGCAAAAGTGAAACTTCATATGAATCAAAATCATAGCTTGCATAGAAAACATGAAATTCCTTGGCTCACTACAATCTCATTCAAAGAGTTCATAAAACTACTATGAATTACAAAATTAGGCACTCCAAAAGAAAAACTTCATTTCTTCTTTGCCCTCACAAAAAAACATCCTCAAGAAGGGATGTCTAGATAGCCATCTAGGAAAAGATTGGAGAGTGTTGAACCTCAAGTTTTGATACTAAACCGGAACGAGAAATTCCATCCATTGAGGAGATGAAAAGAATCATAGATTCTTACCAAACGTGGGAACCATAAGGAATAAGTTCCTGCGAAGGCAAACAGATCAGTGAGGTTCGATAAATGTGTTTACTTGTGCACGAAAAGCTTTTAGTACCGTAACCAAATGGCTCGATTATGAAGTTAGAAAGTAAAAGCAGAAGTTACCTCGGTGTAATAGGAGTTGCAATGGTGCTCACTGCAAGAACTCACAGTTATCTCCCGTTTCGTGGCAGTGTTAGTAGCCCTCGGGCTCTGATTCGTTTGGTCATTATGGCCCCCCCGGGAAGGAATCGAAGGCAGTGTGCGCCAGAGCCATGATTCTGATGGTGATTTGGGTAAGGGTGGGTAGGGGGATAGCGAAGAAGTAACATCAGAATAGCTTCGATAATCTGGTTTAAAGTTTTCTCGACTGCTTCTACTTGTACTGGAACCTCGTTTCTGATTTGGTTCTTGATTCGGGTTTGAACTCGTCCTTTCTGGGAGGTCTTTGAACTCTTCAGGGTCCATAAGACCCTCGGGTTTCGAAGAACATAAATCCAAACTCGTAGTTTTCACATAATTCACAGAATCTACATACACCGTTTTCTCAACCACATCACTCGGGGAATCTGATTCACCTTTGAATGAACTCTTTATAGGAGTGTCCCAAAGATGAGTGTCAACTTCCCTAAATGAACTAAACATACTACCCTTAAGATTCTCAGCTTCTCTCGGTACCCCAAGAAATCCCGTTCCTTCACTAAAACGAGACGAAGTGGTGACATTCCGGTAGGGAGATATAGCACCACTTCTGGAGCCCCCGTGAGGGTACTGTCCATCTGCCTTTAAGCCTCTTTTATCAGCTTTACACAGCTCCCCCGAGAGGGCTCCAGAACGAAATCTTTGCTTGCATATGGCATCATAACTTTGCTGCACAAATAGAGGGAATTTAACATAACATAAGCATAGTACACATGTGAAGTAAGTTTAATTAAGATGTTACTATATATACCTTCTCAATAGGTCCACTATAAGCTTTTCGGGCTTTGTTAAGAGGTCCACTAGGAGCATTTCTCGTCAGTCTTTTCACCTCGTTCGTTGAGGAGGATGCGGGAGTCTGAGTTTTGCTCTTCATTCCCGGGAATGGATTTAGGAGGCCCAAGGAAGTCTTTACAGAAAGACGAGGGAAAAGCTTCCAAAACTTTCGTGACCATTTGTGTTGATCAATAGTCATATTGTCATTCTCTTCGTCTTCATTTTCAGTGACTACATCCCCTGCATAGTCACTATAATATGACATAACGTAAGGCTCGTACTTCTTGGCTTCCTTCACCAGCCTCGGTTGTTCAGTAACCAAAACCGCAGCTTTGGCAGCAGGTAAGAACCGGCTCATCATGAAATCCCGAGAGTCTCCAGATGGCTTTACATCGTCCCGCCCTTCCTCAACGTCTAGGCCTTGGCAACCACTCAAGTCACCAATGCTGCAGTTCAACGACAAAGACTCGAGTACATCAGGATTAGTGCATTCCCTCGAGTCCCGTCCTTCCACATCAAATTCCCCTTTCCCGAGCATACTCTCCACCAAGCTATCCATTAAGGCAGCGTGGTTTTTCAGTGCAAGGGGTTCGGTTTGGAACCTGAAACTATCCTCGTGGCAAGGCCTCTCACAGGAATAAAATCGCCTAGAATCTGGCTTCCTTCCCGGAGGGAGTCTTGGCATAGTTGAAGGATCCTCACACGGGTAGACTTTGCCTCCATTTTCTCCTCTCCGCTTCCCAGGAGCTTGTTCCCAACAAAACGGAACCGCAACTGGTTTCGTAACTTCACTCAACTCACAATCGGATTTCGGGACACACAGAGGTTGTCGTTGTTGTTGTCTATTAGGCTGTGGATTCTCGACATTCTTCCTATTTACACCCTCCAAGTGACGAACATTGGAATTGATTCTCCTCACTGATATAATTGGCACACTAAGATTAAGCTTTGTTTTCTCCATTACAACACACTCTTTCTATGGCAATGCCCTCCCCTAAGATTCAACCCTGGCAACTCAAAATAGCACACACTTTTTGTCTTGTTGGATCATGGACCACTTACTGCAAACAAGAACCATAAATATGCTAAAATCAAGAACCAAACTAACCAATTCAAATCAGCAATAATAGACCCAAGCTCGGTTGGGCAGAGCTTATTTAGGAGCTTATCTTAAGCTATTAATAAGCTATAAGTTTTCTTTGGTAATTTTTCCAAACTAAGCTAGTATCTTAAAACAAGAGCTTATTTTGAATTTTAAAAATAAGCTAGTAACTTTCTAACTTTTTCAGATGCTTTTCAGCTAGGTTTGCCAAACATAGCCTCAAACTCAGATACCGGGGAAATTGGAAAGGGAGTTCAATATATTTCACTAGACAAGGCCCAAGGGCAAATAGCTAATGCAAAAGCTTTACTTAACACACAATCATATGCAATGGTTCATCAATCTTAACTAATCACATATCAACACCAATGGTTTCAATTCAACAAGAAAATGAGAAAAAAAATGAACTTTCTTGAATACACAAGAAAATGTGGGGTACCCATAAATAAATAAACAGAGATAAACCCACAACTGCAAAACCAAGAAAATCAAGAAGGGCACTTACATGCATCCCGGAGAGGAATAATCAAGACAAAATGTGAAGTTTGAGCTCACGAAATTCAAATGAAACCCCAAGAAAAAGAGGGAAAATAAAAAAACATATATAATTTTGTAGTATCATTGTTGCCATACCTGTGAGAGGGGAGAGTGAGAGTGTGGGACTTTGGGTGCGCGAGTGTTGGCTTGATTGAATCCGAGATAGAAGGGGAAAAAGTTGGTAAATTGGAGAGAGAGAGAGAGAGAGAGCAAGGAAAAGTGTTGGTCGGATGTGCTTTGTTTGTGACTTTTTTGACTGAAAACTTCAAGTGTAGAAGACGGGCTACGGCTTTGCAGAAATGCGTTGAAAATGGGATCAATTAGCTTACGAGATTAACGGTAATCAAATGATTACGCGCCAATTTATGGAGTTTTCAGATGGAAAAAAGGGACGACTAGTTGACTAGAGAATAGAGATCAGTTACTTCGGCACCGGCTTAGCTCAATGGTTTAGTAGGTAATATTTAGGAAAAGATACCAATGTTTAAATTTCAATGACTGAAGTGTGGGATTATGCACAAGGTGACCAGATCTCCTGTGCATACCGACATATGGCTATGTAGCCATTGAGTCACGGTGACCTTAGAGTTTGGGATTCAAACTTTTGGCAAAGAATAGAGATCAGTCAAAAATGTTAGATTATGAAGAAAACTTTTTAAAAAGTACTCGTATTTCCTCTCTTCCTCTCAAAAAGTACTCGTATTTGAGAAAATTGTACGTTTTGTTCATAAATTATAAGATAATTGTAAAATTCGTCTCTATAAGTGTTGGTCTTGCTTACTTTTCGCTCTAAGCTATTATTGGCGTTGTATTTTTTGTCCCTAAGATAACTTCTCGTATCATTTTTCGTCCCTAATATTTTGTTAGTAAAGGAACGAAAAGTGCGACACCAATGATAGCTTAGGAATGAAAGTGAACAAAAAATTTTATAATTATCCTATAATTTAGGGATGAAAAAATTTTTTTCAATTTATTTTATTATTAAAAGTTCAAAGGTTCTATAAAAGTTAAATGATCACTCGATAATCAGTTTCTCGTACTAAAGATACTATATATCAAACCATTTTAAATCCATCTTTGCCGACTTATAGATCATTATTATTTTTTAAATAAAAATATTTTTGTCAAATTTAATAAACCATGGGTTATTAGGATTAGTACGTAAAATATCACAATTAAAGCTTCTATTAAGTTTAATACTATTAATATTATAGTGTACTTGACTATCAAATATTATTAAGTATACTTGAATTGAGACTAAATTTGAGTACAAATATTTGTTTAAATGTAACAAAGTAGCTGTATAATGGTGCCACGGGAACAACTCTAGTGTGTGCGCATTAAATCCTATTAATAATAGCCTAACGAGCATGCTCAACATATAATTATGTTCCGAATTTAGTGATAATTTTACTAAATAATACAATGGCGGCCGCCCTGTTTGGTAAAATATTAGCCCATCAATTCGTAAATTATGCTGTAGAAACATGTTCACCATGTGTATGGTGAATACATGGGTAGATTCATAATTTCTATGCTGTAAATTTATAATTTTATTTTTCATTTGTTGTTAGCGACGTTTTTCTCTTCGCAATCACATTATTTCGTCTTCGCAGTACAGATATTATGAATCTACAGTACAGAAATTATAAATCAACAGTATAGAAATTATGAATCAACAGTATAAAAATTATGAATCTACAGTATAGAAATTATGAATCTACATTATAGATGTTATGAATCTACAGTATAGAAATTATGAATATATCCCGTGTTCACCATGCGCATGGTGAACACGGTTTCACAGCATAACTATTGCCCATAAGTTAAGTTTGGCTTATTTGACATTATTAATTGTTTGATTTTGTTAAAAGATCAATTCCACAATACTAAAATTCAAAAAACTGTTCAAAACAGCTTTTTCAATTAGCTATTTGAGAAAAGAAATTATATTAAACAGCTAACAGCTAACAGCTAATTTACCAGACACCTTCCTACAATAAGCTAATGTTATCAACTAGTTATACCCTCTAATTAACACAATCAGCTAACAGCTAACAACCATTTCCCAAACAGGGCCAATTAAGAATTAATTTTAACACTAGGACCAACGAGGATGTTCTGTTAAAAAAAGACTAAAAATGGACTGTCACCTATAAATGTATAACCAAAAATGAAATTAACTCCTATTAAAAGATATGATAGTTTTTTGTGATAAATATTTATAGTGAAATTCAAAATTAGTTTTAGTACTCTTTTTTTTTTTTTTCTTCTAAAGATAAGAAGTTGTTGGGTTGTAGTGTCAACTGTTGTGTCTCTGTTTGTTTGCTAGCCAACCACTTTAGTGGTACAACATAACTTTTCCTATGAAAGGTTTCCTATGGGGAAATATGCAGCTATAATTTGTATTGAGGGGTTGAAACTCAGTGGGTAATATTTGGGAAAAGATGTCAAGGTTCAAATTCGGCGGTAGGAGTGTGGGGATTATGTTCAAAATAGGTAGATTCTTTGTGCGCATTAATTTGGTGCTGAGCCATTGAGTCACCGTGATTTACATTCTCTAAAATGCTCTGTTTAGTCCTTGAGGTTGGGGATTCAACTTTTTCGGAGGAAAAAAAAAAAAGAAAATTAAATAAGTACAATCATCCCTTAAAATTAATAATTTGGCGTTACTAATTGAACCCCAATTATTTATGGAAATACACTGTAATATGAATTCATTGATTTTTTTTATTATATTTAATATTAACAAAGACATCGGTTATATACTTACCATTATGATACTATTCTAGATTTGACCTGAATTGTACTCGTTGAGTTTGACTCTTATTCGGGTGAATGTTTGACTTAGAGCTCTTTAATATGATGCACGTATACAAGATTCCATTTGGCTCAATTAGCAATATGTCTCAAGCTACTCGGTTAAAGTTAAATTCTTTTGCAGGGCGATTTGCTACAATGAAGGGATTGAGGGGTGAGGGGCGATGGGGTTACAATCCTATGGGAGAGGAATACTATGAGAGTAAGTAGGTATTCAAATTTTATTATGGTTAGAGCATCCACTATAGTGGATAATTTCAAGTTATTTTAGAATGCATCCTTCCCAAACAAGGAGCAAAGTTAATGTGGAGAGGGAATAAATAAAAAAGAATTGTCCTGCAAGGGGTTGGAATAATTCAAAATTGGTGGGACCCACCAATATTTGACAATCATAAAATATTATTTTATTTTTATTTTAAATTCAATTTTCCTTTTTTTTTTCTCCCCTCTCACATTATCTTTCCTAATCGCTCTTACATTCTCCCCACATTCTTCCCAACTAATAATGTCGCTCTTAGTAAGAATAGAATTACTAGAAATTTATATTCTAATGTTTGGTTTATTTGTGGATCAAAAGGGAATAAGTAGTATTATTTTCACAATGTCCATAGAATGAGGGATAATTTCGTCATTACAATTCAACTTTTCTTCTCACATGTTATGAAATTACAACTTCTACAGTGGAGGTAGCTAGAGTTTGCATTCCTTGCCACCAATTTGTGAAAATTTTCATTTTTAAAATTCAAGTGAAAAAAAAAAAATCACAAATTTTGACCTTTATCAAACATTTCATTAATTCTACAAATACTTTTGCTTTTCAAAATTGTTGGGCGCGCAACGGTCGAGTTGGCTGAGTTCAGCTCCTGTTCGATTTGAGACATGACGTTGTTATTTATCATGGAGAGATGTGGTTAAATGCTTAACGTTCATCTACTTATCAAAGAACTTTGTGGTTAAATGGTTAACATCCATCTACTTATCAAAGAACTTTGTGGTTAAACGTGCTTGACTTACAGTAATCAGCACTAACGAAATAGTAACCCACTGGGAAGTAAGCATAGTGAATCGCTGTATCAAAAATAAGAAGAATACAAGGAGTATATAAAACAAATAGGCCCTTCCCTGAAGCAAAAAGTCAAAATGAGGGTCCCAATTAGGCCCTCCAAATGGCCCAAAAGGAGCTTAATCACGCCCCTCTCTAATGTACACAGACAGTATGAACAAAACACTCAGTCAAACCCTCTGCGTTGATCAAATAGACAGTTAAAAAGAGGCATCTGGTCAAGCCCTCCTAAAAGAAGGCAACCAAAGAAAAACAAATCAATAAAGTCAAAGGCATTGTTCATGTCACATTATACTTACTAATTACTATATATTATAAAAAGTTGATTGTCATCTTAATTAGGATACTACGGCATACCTAATCAAGGATTATCAAACATTGCTAAACTAGATAATGGAGTTAATGACTAGCTAGATAATGGAGTTAATGACTAGATGCAGAAGATGTATATTTTACGTTATAATTGTCTGAAAAGTAACCTTTTAATTTATATCTTTAATAATTATATGTCATCAAAGTTTATATAAATACGTATTATTTGACTCCTTGATTATCTGCCCGCTTTTCTAGTTCTTTCCTCTCATTCCTATAACACACTTAATATCCATTCATCCACAATATAGTTGAACAAATTAATACCAAGCACACCTTGGGATTTGGATTGACATCGTCAAAAAACGAGTCTTATATAATTTTTTTTATCTTTGTAATTTATGTGTAAAAACAAAAAAGTATCATGTGCATTTTTCTAGCACTTATTGAGACACCTTTGGAATGTATATATGTTTGAGAGTAATTGTCTTCCATACATTTCTTGATTCAAGAAGTGTTTCGTTCATGAGTTCAATTTTTTTTAACACCATCTCAATCAGGCCTATTGCACAATGTATTTTTACAGTAATTTGAGTACTATTACATAGAAGCAAAGTTGACCCACTATACACTTTTAATAGTAGTTGTGATTTCAGGCAATTTATATCCTACACCACGGCGCGCGTTACATTGTGCGCCCAGATGCAAAACGACGTTGTTTTAATTAATTTATTTTTTTTGAAATTTTCCGCCCCAGTGAATGGCAGTAATTTCTTCTGTAAAAAAAACCCGTTGTTCAAAAATGTACATAATGTTATACTAGAATACACATAATTGTATACATGAATGTACATAATTATATAACAAAATATACATACTCTTTTTAGAAGATAATACACATAATCTAACATAATACATAATAAACATAAACTTTTAACATAACACACATCAACTCTTAACATAATACACACAAATTTTCTGATTCGGATGTACATAATTGTATATAAAGGATGTACATAATTGTATAAAAAATGTACATAATTGTATGAACAAA